TGAACACAAAAAATATACGAGGACAAAGGAAAGTATGTATATAGTGAAATAACTGCAAAATATTAGGTACTTCATTAAAGAAATTCATTTCAATTTATGTATTTTTCTACCTTATACAGTGTAATTGCTTTTTAGAAATAACGATCTTTTGTAATTACTAAACATAATGAACTGATTTCAGCAAATTAAATTAAAAGATTATTAGTGTTTATTAATGTATTATAGGAGTCTTTACAATAATATTTTAGCGACAGTGCGGAAAATTGTTCATTTATTATCCAAAAACATGCATCGAAGTCGAAGATTTTCAATTTAAACTTTTTAAAAAATTTTGTCGTATTAAAATGACACTAACTTATTAACAGAACATCATTGTAATCATTTCACTATGTACGCATACCTGCTTCCACAAATTCCTGTATTTTTTCCTGTAGATTTTATAAAGACCAAAAGGTTATTCAATTAATATTCACACTTGCTATGCAACTGCAATACTTGTATATACATGTGAATGTATAGTTATCTAGAAAAGTTCTTGCATATCAATTTTACTTGATGAATGAAATATTGAATGAAATATTGAATTATTTGAATGAAATATTTAAAGTAGTAAAGTGAAGAATCATCCTGCATACGACTACGGTATAATTCCAGAACACCGAAGTAAACATTTTTACAACAAAATAAACAAATATTTAAAACATAAGAGATATTAATTGCTAATTAGTGGATTATATTATTATAATAAAACTGTGCATACACTGTACATATAATGCTATTAAAATGAAAACCAATTTCATTCCAAGATACGAATACTGAAATTACTATAACCAGTTCGGTACTTTGAAAAAATATTCGTAAAATGACATATGACTACTGATTTTTCCGAGCAAATTTCACAGGACTCATTGAAAATCAGCATTTATAATTAAGCACAAGTAATGCATTAAGTGCAGTCATAGAGAAACGAATGTCTATGAGTAGTTTGAGTGGTTATAAAAATCGGAACACTTCCTTGTACAGTGGCACATGAAAGTTATTTATTGAAACCTAGTTTTAGACGTGATCAAAGTGTTTAGGAACAAAAACACTTTACGTGCCGTGGCAAATCGCAAATAGACAACTTATAAGTCTGTTCGGAAAATCATGAAATGGTGTCATCGTGTAAGTGCCAAACTTTCTTCGTGAGTATTCGCATCGTCTTCATATAAAGAAGTAGTAATAAGTCTCAGCTTTTGCTCAACGTAAATCATTATATCATCAAAATTCAAGAGAAAATTATGTTCAATCTTTTATTACTCGTCTATTCATTTTGTTTGAGTTATCTAGGTTATGTTATCTACTAAAAACTGAATTTTAGTTTATTCAAACTACGCTGAATATAACATAAAAAATGCACTTTACAGAATGATCGTACCATATTAGTTTTGCAAATTAGTGTTCAAATTGTTTCAAATAGATATAAGAAACTGAATCAATGTTGTTT